CGACCGTTTCACTTCTAAAAATTTGCATAACTGTGTTAAACTACTATAAAGTAGTGCAACATTTGATTGCTAATAACTCTGATCAACACTTTTAGTGAATGCTACAAATTTAAAATAGAGTTTGTATACTTTTAACTTAGTTATTAACTAAATTTTATTAAAATTTATTAGAAGACACTCCGACAGTTCCCTTGTCAGTGTGCTTTTCAACGCATGTATATACAAAACTACTCTGTAGTGTTTTAACCAATTGTATTTAGAATATAATTTCAGACTTTTCTTGCATATTATTTTAAATGTGTACTAAAATTTGGGACATAAATGTAAACTTTTCCTATAAAAATAGCAGCCAAAAAAATGTATCAGGAAATATTGGGTTGAGTAATAAGTCTTTGCATTTTTTATGTTATTTTAAACATTTTATTTAACATACAAATACAAACAGTTAATCAATTATATATGATCCATTTTGTTGTATCACTAGTTTCCATCTTTCTATCAATTTCTCAATTCCTCTTCAGAAAAAGCACAGATTTTGAGACTATATATTCCACAATAGCATTTTTGACTTCATCAGTTCAAATAAATTTTTTTTAATCTAAATAATTCTGTAAAGATCTAAACAAGTAATAATCTGAAGGTTCCAAATCCAGAGAATATGACAAATGAAGCAAAATTTCCCATTGCTATTCTTCTTTTTATAGGGTTAATTTGGCAACATGGTCTTATATTATCATGGTGCAGTATGATGCCCTTGCAGTTTACTAGCACCGGTCTTTTGACCTCTAATGCTTTGCTTAAATGGTCTAATTGTTCACAATAGATGTTGGCATTTATGGTTTGGTTCAGATCTATCAGTACTAATAGTTCATAATACACTATTCTCTTTACGTTACTTTTTTTTGAGGGGTGCAGTCTACTTTTTGGTGTGGATGTTGAGGGCTCTGTTGGATTTAGCCATGATCGTTTCTGTTGAATATTAGTGTATAATATCCATTTTCCATCTCCAGTAATTACTCAATCTAAAAAATGGAACTTTCTTTTGAAAATCAAATAATAGTTTTATGTAACAATACTTAATCATTGTGCGAGATCAGTTTCTGTTAACTCACATGAACCCATGCATCTAACTTAGGAACTTTTCCAAGCCTTTTAAGATGGTTGCGTACACTTTTTTGGCTTATATTAATTTTATAGCCAAGTCTCTTGTGGTAGTTCTTGGATTGGCTTTTCAACCAGAGCCTTTAGGTCATCGCTGTTGACCATGATCGGCCAACCAATGCTCATCATCTTTCAAGTTAAAATCTCCCTTCCAAAACTTAGCAAACAAAACTGAGCTTTTCTTATCTTTAAATGTCAGTGCCAGAAATTTTTGATGTTGTCTTAGTTGCATTTAAATCTTTTCAGAAACAAAAAAGCAAAATGTGTCTCAGGTGGATGTTGTCTACTTCTATTCACAGAACTAAAATGTTCACAAAATAAAATTAAAACTATTCAAATCAGTTTAACAGACTGGACTTTAACTTCTTGTTTGTATAAGTTGCAATAGTATTAGTAAATGAATAAGAAAGAAATTAACTTAAACAATTACATTATTATTATGATATTTACTAAAGTTGTAATATATTATAATCACTTAATAAAACCTTAAATTATTACTTGATTCAAATTTGAAGATAGTACATGATATAAGATATTTATTACTGTATTTTAGATTAATAAATATTGTTTTGCACAATATAAACAAAAATCTTATCAAGGAAAAACATGCCAAAATTAAATTCACATCAATATCTCTTATTAGTATAAACTAATAATTTAATAATTGCACGAATAGAATTTATCAAAATATTTTTAATAGGTAAGATTATTAGTTTATGTTAATGTCAATTTTTTAATTACTAATTTAAAATATTTATGGCATAATAATTAATCTGTATGCTATAGCATATAGATTGAAACAATTGTAATGCTTTTTCTATTCACCTTTACACTATTGCTTTTTTTTAGATGATAAATTTTTCTGGTTATTTAAGTGTGTAAGAAAATTTTTAATTTGACATATGTATTGAATCTTATCTAGAGTATGTATTCGAGAGTTGCTGCATGCCAGATAACAACATATTATTATGTCGGATTTGCTTACATGATGATGCGTAGATATGCAGATGCTATCAGGACATTTTCGAACATTCTTCTCTACATTCAAAGAACAAGACAAATGTTTCAGCAACGAACTTATCAAGTTGATCAGGTATATTTTACTCAAAATTTATTAATACTAAAAGTTAACCTTTTAATTTATGTAAATTTAAATATCTTTGTTTTGAAATAAGTGACTTTTGTTTAATACTTTTTATGTGCTCTACCNTTGGTGTGGATGTTGAGGGCTCTGTTGGATTTAGCCATGATCGTTTCTGTTGAATATTAGTGTATAATATCCATTTTCCATCTCCAGTAATTACTCAATCTAAAAAATGGAACTTTCTTTTGAAAATCAAATAATAGTTTTATGTAACAATACTTAATCATTGTGCGAGATCAGTTTCTGTTAACTCACATGAACCCATGCATCTAACTTAGGAACTTTTCCAAGCCTTTTAAGATGGTTGCGTACACTTTTTTGGCTTATATTAATTTTATAGCCAAGTCTCTTGTGGTAGTTCTTGGATTGGCTTTTCAACCAGAGCCTTTAGGTCATCGCTGTTGACCATGATCGGCCAACCAATGCTCATCATCTTTCAAGTTAAAATCTCCCTTCCAAAACTTAGCAAACAAAACTGAGCTTTTCTTATCTTTAAATGTCAGTGCCAGAAATTTTTGATGTTGTCTTAGTTGCATTTAAATCTTTTCAGAAACAAAAAAGCAAAATGTGTCTCAGGTGGATGTTGTCTACTTCTATTCACAGAACTAAAATGTTCACAAAATAAAATTAAAACTATTCAAATCAGTTTAACAGACTGGACTTTAACTTCTTGTTTGTATAAGTTGCAATAGTATTAGTAAATGAATAAGAAAGAAATTAACTTAAACAATTACATTATTATTATGATATTTACTAAAGTTGTAATATATTATAATCACTTAATAAAACCTTAAATTATTACTTGATTCAAATTTGAAGATAGTACATGATATAAGATATTTATTACTGTATTTTAGATTAATAAATATTGTTTTGCACAATATAAACAAAAATCTTATCAAGGAAAAACATGCCAAAATTAAATTCACATCAATATCTCTTATTAGTATAAACTAATAATTTAATAATTGCACGAATAGAATTTATCAAAATATTTTTAATAGGTAAGATTATTAGTTTATGTTAATGTCAATTTTTTAATTACTAATTTAAAATATTTATGGCATAATAATTAATCTGTATGCTATAGCATATAGATTGAAACAATTGTAATGCTTTTTCTATTCACCTTTACACTATTGCTTTTTTTTAGATGATAAATTTTTCTGGTTATTTAAGTGTGTAAGAAAATTTTTAATTTGACATATGTATTGAATCTTATCTAGAGTATGTATTCGAGAGTTGCTGCATGCCAGATAACAACATATTATTATGTCGGATTTGCTTACATGATGATGCGTAGATATGCAGATGCTATCAGGACATTTTCGAACATTCTTCTCTACATTCAAAGAACAAGACAAATGTTTCAGCAACGAACTTATCAAGTTGATCAGGTATATTTTACTCAAAATTTATTAATACTAAAAGTTAACCTTTTAATTTATGTAAATTTAAATATCTTTGTTTTGAAATAAGTGACTTTTGTTTAATACTTTTTATGTGCTCTACCAAGAAAACAGTTTTCAAGTTCGCTTTATTTAAATTTTATTATTTATTACTTAATTCTAATTAGTAAAATTTCTGTCATTCAAGAATGGAATATTAATTATACTAAAATGCTAAGTTTCATGTAGAAATATATTATTTATTGCAGCTAATATATTTAAAATACATTATGTAAATTTTTTTCAGTCATATACTAATATGTGAATATTGTAATTTATTAATCAATGAAAATTATGCATTTTCATCTTATAATCGAGATGGATTGATAATAATAATAATGACAATAATAAGAGCAGAGCCCAAATGGTTAGGAGTTGAAATTTGGTACACAGTTAGTGTACAACATGAGAATGCACACTAAGAAGAGATTTTTGAAATTCCACAACTCGGGGAGAGGGAGAAGGTTAAGGATTACCCTGAAGAACTCTGCTTCTAATCTACTATTTTAGATGTGGGTTTTTGCAGGAAATCGAACATATTTTTATATGTTCGATTTCCCACAAAAATCCACATCTAAAATAGTACAGTAGAAGCAGAGTTCTTCAGGGTTCTTTTTAGACTCATCTAAAAATTCTCTAATTAGCCTCAGAAGAGGGGGCCTAATTCTTGGACCCAGTGAAAACAGTAAGATCAGCTATATAAGAGGATATCTTATGTAAGGGTTTATCACTCAATGACCAATCTAACACATTTTAAAAATTCTTTATTCCTCTACTGTACTCAATTTAAAAAATTTTTTAAATGTGTTAGATTGGGCACTTGGTGTGATAAACTCTTCCATAAGATAACCTTTCTAAATATAAATCAAATACTATAACATAATATAGTAAAAGGGAAGTATGAAATAATCTAATAATTTTAATCTTTGCTGTTGTTATTTTTTGCTCAGCAACACCAGGCTTATCTGCTAGTTTCTAATATTCATAACATTTTGTAAAACAAGATTCGAGTCTTATTGCTAGATTTTTTAAATTTTGATTTAGTTTGATCTTGATTGCATATTTCTCTTAACTTCTCCTCTTTTATTTAACTATCATTCTAACAAGCTAAACACCAACCAAATGCCGAAATTCTATCGGGCTAGTTTAAAGCTAATTACTAAATGAATTACATAACCAATTTGGCTCTACAGGTAAGTGTTAGGCACCATCTCTTATTAACATTAATAAGTATAAATAAAATTAATTAATTTAAATAATTTAGAACCGCTGGGAGAAAAAAATCTGCCTGGAGCGGGACTCAAACTCACAACTCCTGCTTACCGTGCAGATGCATTGCCAGTTACTCTATCCAGACCTCCAGTCCGATCGCCTCTTTCAGCATATAGAAGCTATAACCATTGACGGTTATTACAACGCCGGCTGGGGACACATCCCATGCTCATGTCCTATAAGCTAACATTATAACCGTCGATGGTTATAGCTTCTATATGCTGGAAGAGGAGATCGGACTGGAGGTCCAGATAGTGTAACTGGCAATGCATCTGCACGGTAAGCAGGAGTTGTGAGTTTGAGTCCCGCTCCAGGCAGATTTTTTTCTCCCAGCGGTTCTAAATTATTTAAATTAATTAATTTTATTTATACTTATTAATGTTAATAAGAGATGGTGCCTAACACTTACCTNATTTACAGACCACTTTCAAAATAAGTATCTTCTGCAGATATACTTCTGCCAATGTTTGTACCATTTATTAAAACAGTTTTGTGGCCCATTCTGCATTATTTCTTTTGAGTGCAGTCATCTGCTGATTTGAATCTGTGATCCTTCTGTAGAGTTTTTGTTTTGGTAATTTTGGTGTTCACCAAAATGGGTAAGAAAGCTACAGAGGTCAAGTAAATGATGTTTTTCCTAATATTCACTAGAAGAGCTTGATACCCAGTGTATCAAGCTCTTCTAGTGGCATTGTCATGGTGGAGAACCCAGCTTTTTGTTTGCCAGAGAAAGGTCATTTTTGTCTTATTGTATCACAAAGGCAATTGAGAATATCTGTATTTCTGTATCTGTATTTTTGAGAATTCTGTATTTCTCTTTATCAATGGATTTACTGTTGAGAATAAATTGTAATGCATCAGACTTTTCACATCAAAAAGAAGCCAAAATCATTACGATTTCCAGCATAATTGTCACATATTTTTCATAGCTCAATGTTTTTAATTGGGACTTCTTTTGTCTCCTTTTCTTCAGCTATGTAACTGCAAGGCCTATCTAACCAAAATATGGGTTTTACAATTATTTTAATCACTTCGCTTAGTATCGCATGTAAGGATGCAGATAGACTGACAAGTTAATTGTGACAAATTTTATACAGCAACTTATATGAGGGTTTACAGTAGCATTAATGAACTCCAGAATAGGATTTTATGATTTACCCACATGCATCTGCATCTTGATATAATCTTATGGCTAAACAACATGATATAATAAGTTTCCCAGACACCTCACAGCTCTTTGCATTAGGAAAATTGTCATGATTATCAGTTGAAGGTGTCCTGCAAATTCTGCCTTCTCCAAGTTCTCTCAAAACTGTTCACATTCTCAGCAACTTAAGACTTTACAACAGTTATATGTTGTGTGTTCATTCTCTTTTCACTATGTTACATGATGTGAAACCAGTAAGATGTGTTTGTATTGCAACAGTATCATTAGTTCTAAGAGACAATTACAATAGAAAAAAATCATGTGCTGGATAAGAGAATATCTGAATTATCTGTTGAATGTTGAATAAATATTTTAATGCAGAAAAATACAACCAAATAGATAAAAAAAAAATAGTTCTGGGACATGAAGTTTTTATATGTTCATTTTCTTTACTTCTTGCATAAACTGGCTTCTTAGGTTGTGTAATTTTCATAAAATTTTGTTGCTATCAGTATTAAATTAATTAAGCTTTATACATGATGATGAACGCTTAATGCGTTTGAAAACGTTTTTATGTTATTAAAGAATTATGCTGGATAGTTGAATGGTTTTTATTTTTATTGAATTTATTCTCTAGTAAGCAAGTATACAATTATTTATTAAGCTTTATTGCAATTAATTTTAACATTCTTGTTTCTTATTGCAATTTCTATAACTTGCATGGGACATATCCCACAATAGCAGGTTAACATACAGAGTTGTTAAAACTTTTATTTCTACATCACTCCATATCTTCTTGCCTTCCAAAGTATTGAGCTCACTGTTTAATTCACCAAATATTGAAACAAACTGGATGAATTTCAAGAAATCACGCAATTACAAATATGTGTGTCACGCGAGAACTTCTGGAAGTTTTGACAAGTCAACTTATAAAGCTGTTTATGCTAAAGATTAATGTCAGACAGCAACTGGCACAAGTTTTCTTGCTAGTCTAGATACACCTAAAGTGCTAGCCTAAAACTTAAAAGTTAGATTTGAACCCAGTTCAGACTTTATAATTTATTAGGGGTATTACAGACTGGGGCATTGTCTCCTATTCTCGCTCATATTGGTGAATTATGTGGATCAGGCAATATAATTAACAATTTTAAAAAATTGTAAATTTTTTATGTATGAAAGACCAGAATTGATGGCAAATGAATGCTCTGCAAGTTAATTTTGCTATTGGTAAATTTTAATGAGAGTAACAGAACATTATTTATTTTTTTATTCCGTACAAATTTAATTTTTATTGAAGTTCCACTGTATTAGTTTAAACTGGTAATTGAGTGTATTAAAATCAATATTATTTTTTACAGCTTTATCACAAGATTAATAATTTACAATTATAAATGTACTGGTATTATTCAAAATCAAATAATTTGGAAGAATGGTATACATGTGAAATATCTTTCTTTTTTTCAATAAAGATATAATGTTCTAAATATTTAAGAAAAATTATTTGAGTTTTTTTCTGTATAATTAATTTTTGAAAAGTTTAATATGGCATACTGTAGTTTTACCTAACATTTAAAATTGCAAATGTCTTATAGACAATTCATTTGCTAATTTATAGTTTAAAAATGCTTTAAATCTTGTAGCATATTCTAGAATTTAAAATATGCCATATTTCCTCAATTATAATACACTTTCACCCAGCTTTACATAATCTAATAATTCTTGGCTAACCAAAATAGAGGCACATCTTAGAATCGACAGGGCAGTGTAGCCAAAACAACTCTTGCACAAATAAAATTCAACTGACTTAATTGAGGGTATCTTATAATCATTATAAGTGGACCGGGAGACAAGTTATGCACAAATAATAGGCATGTTTGGCTACGCTACTCGCCAGTACATCAGTTCGGATGAGCTTTACTGCTAACAAGCATTTGATGTAAACAATTTTCTAATGTTTAAAATGAATATTTATTGTATATAGAAATCGAGCTGCCAAATATTTCTATTTTGTGACATTTTATTGTTCTTCTAGCTTGTTATTTAACAAAATTTATTAGGATTGATTATTTAAAAAAGCTTTTTCTTCTATAAAAAAAAAACCTTAAAATTTCATTCCAAATTTGTGATGCATCTTAGAATTGAGGAAATATGGTTTGTATGCAATAAGGAAAATATCTGAATAATTTTCAACCAGTTATACTTATTTAATTATTAAGTATAACTGACTGCTATGTAAATTTTTATGGAACATTCAGAGACTAAATTTTCTGTGCATCCAAAGTACTCTGTTAATTATCTTTATAAGCAATTTCCAAAATAAAATATTANAAATTCACTGTGTTTTTAGATTTATTTTCAATAAATTGCTTTTTTTTTTCCAAGCAAAAGCTTTCATTATATTCATATAATAAAGACTTTCAACATTCAGTTGAAATTTTTTTTTTAACTTTATGTTGAAAAGTGTTCCTTTTTTATTTTGCATTACATTAAATTTTTCATTATGTTAATTTAACACATTAACTGTCATGAGGTACCACTTATGTGACATGCTAAAAATTTCCCCTGGTGCTTCAAGGAGCAAGGTACAAGTGTCTCAGTAACTGATTACACAATATGCATCATGGATTACCATTGGTACCTCTATCACAGAGCATTTCTGTAAATGTAGTTTAATTAAAAATAATGCAAAACAAATTTGTACCAACCTGCGAGGTACAGTACGTATAACTCGCAGCCTGTATAGTACATGTAAATTCATTTGTCTAAGCCTTTAGGTATACGTATTTTACCTTAAACAAAGCTTTTAAAATTAGCATAAATATTTTAAAGAAATCAATTCAAAGAGCAAACTTAGATTTTCTGGTATGAAAATAACATAAATCTATAGTAAAAAAGAGAATGACCCAGGGGCTCAAAATATTTTAATGGTGGCAGTTAATGCATTAATGTATTTATGTATATATTACTATAACAATCAATATAATATCTAAAAGTATCATGAGAAAGTACATAATATAGTTAGCATAGATATGTTGTTATATTTTGTGCTCAAGAAAATCATATCCCCTTTATGGAAGAAGAGCCAGTGTTTTATATTGTTGATATTCGTGGTAAAAAAATTATATTGATCATGTACTGTTGACTGACTGAACAAGTACTGTTTCAATTGAGAAGTAATAATAAAAAGAAGTTGGAATTTGTTTCTCATGCAAAACTACAGTATTTACTATTTGAATTTTGGTTTCATTGGGTAGACAAAATGGTTTATTTGAAAGTTATATGCACATTATGCTCACTTTCCAAAGTTTAAGTATAATTGCCAGTGAACATTCAATAGCTTGATGTACAGTGAGTTTTTAATTGCTCATTTATTCTCCTAAATGAGTAATTCGGAGGTTATTGTTTATCAAACTATTCAATCATTATTCACCAATCTTGTTCAGTTATAAGTAATTAGTGATATGCCCAGATTATGAATAGCAACATACACAATATTTTAATTTTAGAATTTATTATATATTGCATTTTCTATAAATCTCACAGTAATGAATGCTTTGTGTGAATTCATTAATATAATCATAGCTTTTTTTTTATTTCCTTCGTTCGGAAAGACTACAATGTTTCAAACAATAAGTGAAATTACAGAAATCTGTATAACTATAAGATTCTAAATTATCAAACTTAATTGTAATTTCAACAATTTATATAAATATATAAATTAATTTTTGTTTTGGAACTGAAAGAAATTTTCATCATTGTAATAAATACTTGTAAAATTTTGATAGTTCAGCACCATTGTTTTAAATACTGATAATATTGATATGATAGTAACCATTTAATTTCTGAAAGAATTGAACTGTATTTTTTTTAATTGTAAAATTAAAAACAATTTTATATTTTATTAACAGACAATTAAAGGAATTTGAGACATGTTTTTCATTTGCTTGCCCCAAATTTCTCTCACCAGTTTCTCCTACTTATGATGCAGAAATACCATCTAATTATCACAAGGTAAATTTAAAATATTATCTGAATTATAATTGAAAATTTTGACTGTAACTTTGCATATGTATTTTCTATTTCAGGAACCATTTTTTCTTCAATTGAAAGTTTTCTTGGATGAAGTACAACAACAAATCATGTTGCCAAATATAAGAAGGTGGTGTTTAAATTTTTTATAAATTTTTGTTTCTGATTAAAATTGCTATGACAAATAAATTAGTAAATTCAACATAAGACATAAAAATAAGCAAATTAATGTTTAACTTGGGGAAAAAGTATAAAACAAATTATAGCATTAATAAAAGGGACATGAACTGATACAAAATCTTTAAGAAACATCTATCTTCCTATGTTGTTTTTTTTTACTAATCAGAAGATATATATTGTTGAATTTATCTTATTCAAATTTATTATTTTTAAAATTATGTATGTTTTTTATACTGATCTATATATATTTATTGTTTTTTCAGTTACATGAAACTCTATACAACTATGCCTATCTCAAAATTAGCCGCATTTTTAGCTATGGTGAGCAAATTATATTTATTATATAGTGATTTGATTATTAAGGTCAATTATACACGTGGCATTAATAGTTTTTGAGTGTGTTTGATTTTTAACATTTTTTTCTAAGATTTTGTAATTCCAAAATTTCTTTTGTGTTTTTTTTCATTTAAGAATTAATCCAAAGTTGAGAAATAACCATTTTTTTTTTTTTTTAACTTCATTTATAATAAATTTTTGAAAAAGTTTACAGATTGACTTATATATACATGTAACACACCGATTAATCTGCCTGGAATTAAACCTTATGAACAGTGTTACATAAATGAAAAACAGGTTCAAACAATTGCCAAGCCTGGATACAGGCAAGTAAAGGAATATAAAAATATCTATGTAGCAAACATACTTATTTGTAAAACATGACAATAAATAACGACAACTTGTCAAGACTGAAATAAAAGTATTTTATTAAATACTACAAAAGTGACAATGTACAAATATAGGCGTAAACTAGACACAAAATGTGAAACTAAGTTAGTTTAATAATTGACACGAGTTGGTAAATAAAAATAAAATCAGACCTATAATTAGTCCAAATCAAAAACTAATATTTACAAAACTTAAGTCTCCACAAAAACCAACAAAAATAACTCAAAATCAAAGCACTTACAAAACTGTTAGAATTCTAAACACCATAACAGAACATCAAATGAATCCAATCTCTTCATTTGCTAGATCTTGCACTCAAAAGTATCACAAGTTGTCTTATCCTTCATCACTTCTTTATACATTGTGAGTGTGATATCACATTGGCACACGTCATTCTACACCATTTACATATGTACTTGCTAACAGTTAGTTTTAATTCTTTGTAATTATTTCCGACAAGAGTCAGTTCAATCTTTTCATACATTTCTTTGCTGATTTTTAGAAATCAGTAACAATGTGATAAAAAGAATACTCTATAACTCCTTTCTAGAAATTGTTTAATGCAAGATACCATTTTAGATTAGCAATGATGTTTCTCACAAGTGACAGTCATGTAAGTAACTTTTATCTTTTTGAATTTAGAACTGGGGGATGTAGACATTTGTCCTTTAAACAAAGGAAAACATCCCAAAACTAAATTATAACTATAACTAAAACAAAAACCCAGAAACAAAAAATAATATTCTGTCTTGACTCCTTACAAACATCAAAATATAGTCTGTCTATTCTATGTGTATAAAAAAATATTTAGCTTAAAATTGTCACAAATGTTTTTCTGTTAGAAAAAATATGGCACCAGGAATTGCTAAATTGTTATGAATATTGGGAATAAAGGGTCAAAGTCCATGGGTTAAGCAAGAAACGTGAGCAGGGGATAGAGTTGCCTATGATGGCCAGGGAAAACAAAAAAAAATGAAATAGTGTTACTAGGAGTTGATGAATCATCATGGAACTTTTGAACAAGCTGGTGAATTCCCTAGATTATTATGTAAAATTAAATAAAACATTATGCTGTAATTATTATGCAGTTCTTATCAAGAATGTGATTTTATAAAATATTCTTATTTTTTGTATTGTTAATACAAATTCAGAATAAAAAGAAATTTACTAGATTAAACTTTTAAAATTATTTTATATCCTGGAAGATTTGATGATAAGTAGTTAATTTCTGTTTGCATATCCATGATTGGATATCTGCTTTCTTAATTATTCCTGTATATATTTTAAATAAATTAGAAAAATAAATTATTGTTTGGTTTTAATAATATAATTGTATACATTTTTTAAAGTATTGTACTGTACATAGAAAATTACATATTTATTATAAAAATTATTTTTATATTAATAATAAAAGAAAAAAAAGGTTTACTTAGTTTCATATTATTAACTGTATAATTTGTTACTTTGAAATTTGTTAATTGATAAAATTTTATATACAACACACTTACCATAATTTATATATCGCATACTTTTTAATACTTTAGGAAGAAGAAGAATTTCGAACACATTTACTCTGTTTTAAGGTAAGGAATTTTTAAAATAAAATGAAATTAATTATTCAGATAAAACATATTAATTTGTGTATATTATATTAAGCATAAAATGAAAAACATGGTTTGGACTAAAGGTACAAATGGATTAGAAGGAGAATTTCAATGTGGTTCTGAAGTTGATTTTTTCATAGACAAAGTGAGTAATATTTATAGATTGTTTTATATTATACTAAATGGCATTATATTAAATTTAATATTCATATCAGGATATGGTGCACATTGCTGACACAAAAGTTGCAAGAAGATATGGAGATTTCTTTATTAGACAAACTTTAAAATTTGAAGAAGTAAGTTTTCTTTTAAACTACGGTGGAACTTCAATAATTGAAAAGAATGGAGATAAAATTTGTTTTAATTGATAATTATACTTGAAGAATATAAAAATAAATAATTACACTGATAAATATTTTTCTATTTTTAATACAAAAGGAAGTAAAACTAGGGAATGAGACAAACTAGACCATACAACATTTAGATATATTTATGATAGATATGTTTTTACATTATTATATCTTAGATTCATTTAAATGCAAAATTTGTTTATATAGAGTCAAAAATAAATCAAACTTTCAATATAATTTTTATTATGTTAATGTTACAAGTATTTACAGACCACTTTCAAAATAAGTATCTTCTGCAGATATACTTCTGCCAATGTTTGTACCATTTATTAAAACAGTTTTGTGGCCCATTCTGCATTATTTCTTTTGAGTGCAGTCATCTGCTGATTTGAATCTGTGATCCTTCTGTAGAGTTTTTGTTTTGGTAATTTTGGTGTTCACCAAAATGGGTAAGAAAGCTACAGAGGTCAAGTAAATGATGTTTTTCCTAATATTCACTAGAAGAGCTTGATACCCAGTGTATCAAGCTCTTCTAGTGGCATTGTCATGGTGGAGAACCCAGCTTTTTGTTTGCCAGAGAAAGGTCATTTTTGTCTTATTGTATCACAAAGGCAATTGAGAATATCTGTATTTCTGTATCTGTATTTTTGAGAATTCTGTATTTCTCTTTATCAATGGATTTACTGTTGAGAATAAATTGTAATGCATCAGACTTTTCACATCAAAAAGAAGCCAAAATCATTACGATTTCCAGCATAATTGTCACATATTTTTCATAGCTCAATGTTTTTAATTGGGACTTCTTTTGTCTCCTTTTCTTCAGCTATGTAACTGCAAGGCCTATCTAACCAAAATATGGGTTTTACAATTATTTTAATCACTTCGCTTAGTATCGCATGTAAGGATGCAGATAGACTGACAAGTTAATTGTGACAAATTTTATACAGCAACTTATATGAGGGTTTACAGTAGCATTAATGAACTCCAGAATAGGATTTTATGATTTACCCACATGCATCTGCATCTTGATATAATCTTATGGCTAAACAACATGATATAATAAGTTTCCCAGACACCTCACAGCTCTTTGCATTAGGAAAATTGTCATGATTATCAGTTGAAGGTGTCCTGCAAATTCTGCCTTCTCCAAGTTCTCTCAAAACTGTTCACATTCTCAGCAACTTAAGACTTTACAACAGTTATATGTTGTGTGTTCATTCTCTTTTCACTATGTTACATGATGTGAAACCAGTAAGATGTGTTTGTATTGCAACAGTATCATTAGTTCTAAGAGACAATTACAATAGAAAAAAATCATGTGCTGGATAAGAGAATATCTGAATTATCTGTTGAATGTTGAATAAATATTTTAATGCAGAAAAATACAACCAAATAGATAAAAAAAAAATAGTTCTGGGACATGAAGTTTTTATATGTTCATTTTCTTTACTTCTTGCATAAACTGGCTTCTTAGGTTGTGTAATTTTCATAAAATTTTGTTGCTATCAGTATTAAATTAATTAAGCTTTATACATGATGATGAACGCTTAATGCGTTTGAAAACGTTTTTATGTTATTAAAGAATTATGCTGGATAGTTGAATGGTTTTTATTTTTATTGAATTTATTCTCTAGTAAGCAAGTATACAATTATTTATTAAGCTTTATTGCAATTAATTTTAACATTCTTGTTTCTTATTGCAATTTCTATAACTTGCATGGGACATATCCCACAATAGCAGGTTAACATACAGAGTTGTTAAAACTTTTATTTCTACATCACTCCATATCTTCTTGCCTTCCAAAGTATTGAGCTCACTGTTTAATTCACCAAATATTGAAACAAACTGGATGAATTTCAAGAAATCACGCAATTACAAATATGTGTGTCACGCGAGAACTTCTGGAAGTTTTGACAAGTCAACTTATAAAGCTGTTTATGCTAAAGATTAATGTCAGACAGCAACTGGCACAAGTTTTCTTGCTAGTCTAGATACACCTAAAGTGCTAGCCTAAAACTTAAAAGTTAGATTTGAACCCAGTTCAGACTTTATAATTTATTAGGGGTATTACAGACTGGGGCATTGTCTCCTATTCTCGCTCATATTGGTGAATTATGTGGATCAGGCAATATAATTAACAATTTTAAAAAATTGTAAATTTTTTATGTATGAAAGACCAGAATTGATGGCAAATGAATGCTCTGCAAGTTAATTTTGCTATTGGTAAATTTTAATGAGAGTAACAGAACATTATTTATTTTTTTATTCCGTACAAATTTAATTTTTATTGAAGTTCCACTGTATTAGTTTAAACTGGTAATTGAGTGTATTAAAATCAATATTATTTTTTACAGCTTTATCACAAGATTAATAATTTACAATTATAAATGTACTGGTATTATTCAAAATCAAATAATTTGGAAGAATGGTATACATGTGAAATATCTTTCTTTTTTTCAATAAAGATATAATGTTCTAAATATTTAAGAAAAATTATTTGAGTTTTTTTTCTGTATAATTAATTTTTGAAAAGTTTAATATGGCATACTGTAGTTTTACCTAACATTTAAAATTGCAAATGTCTTATAGACAATTCATTTGCTAATTTATAGTTTAAAAATGCTTTAAATCTTGTAGCATATTCTAGAATTTAAAATATGCCATATTTCCTCAATTATAATACACTTTCACCCAGCTTTACATAATCTAATAATTCTTGGCTAACCAAAATAGAGGCACATCTTAGAATCGACAGGGCAGTGTAGCCAAAACAACTCTTGCACAAATAAAATTCAACTGACTTAATTGAGGGTATCTTATAATCATTATAAGTGGACCGGGAGACAAGTTATGCACAAATAATAGGCATGTTTGGCTACGCTACTCGCCAGTACATCAGTTCGGATGAGCTTTACTGCTAACAAGCATTTGATGTAAACAATTTTCTAATGTTTAAAATGAATATTTATTGTATATAGAAATCGAGCTGCCAAATATTTCTATTTTGTGACATTTTATTGTTCTTCTAGCTTGTTATTTAACAAAATTTATTAGGATTGATTATTTAAAAAAGCTTTTTCTTCTATAAAAAAAAAACCTTAAAATTTCATTCCAAATTTGTGATGCATCTTAGAATTGAGGAAATATGGTTTGTATGCAATAAGGAAAATATCTGAATAATTTTCAACCAGTTATACTTATTTAATTATTAAGTATAACTGACTGCTATGTAAATTTTTATGGAACATTCAGAGACTAAATTTTCTGTGCATCCAAAGTACTCTGTTAATTATCTTTATAAGCAATTTCCAAAATAAAATATTAACTTTTTCCTTTCATTTTCTCTTAGCGTTCATATTAATTCTTTACATTTTTCATTCTTTTATATTTTATTTTATTACCTTTGGCCCAAGATACTTTTCCGGTAATTAATTGCACTAAACTAAAGCTTTTGTCGTAACCATTTTCCTTAGTTCGTGTGAAATCCCTTTAAAATTCTGAAATTTTTATGAGGGAATTTCATAGTTTAGTTTAATATCTCAAGCAAATATCTATAATGAATTAATAGAAACTATTTTTAAAATAGAAACTTATTAAGTCATTTATAATTTTCTTTTTGTACTTACATCATTGATTATTATTGTAAATAATTGCAAAATTATTACTTTTATTTATAATTTAAAAATTATTTATGTTAAATTTAATAATCCAATACCTCTAGCCAAGTTACTGATATATTAATTAATTTATTAACCATTTCGTAATCTAATAAAATCCAGTCGTATCATTCGATCGGTAATGTTTATCGGAGTCGATCGAATATATGGATAATAATTTTAAATAGTTTGTGGGTTAAGCTTATATTAAGTAAATTTGATACGTTTTATTGAAAATTTTATGTTTTTAATCAAATACAAATAAAATATTTGTTTGAATGAAGTTTATGCAATTCCTTGAAGTTTGTTTTAATAGATTTTATTCATACTAGATTGTCTTATATAGTATATTGTGAGTGCAAAAGCTAATTTTCTCAATACTATAATAATTATTAGATCTCCATTAAATTAAATATATATAATTTTAATTTTCAATAATTTTTTTCTGAACTTAGTTTATAAAATATAATGGAAACTTCAGTTGGAATTAATTACAGATAAAGGTAGACATATTATTGACATTTTACTTGTGTAAAATGTCAATAATATCTGTAATTAATCTATATTGGGAACAAGTGGGCAAAGCAAGTGGCAAGTTGGGCTGCCACTGGTGTCCAGGGATGCAAACTTTCCCTAATATATTTATATAATATAATATGTTTTCCTTCTTATTTGTAATTTAAATATAAATTCTGTAATGGAATCCAAGTTATTGCAAATTGCACACATAGTATGCAAACATTGGATTTTATGTTATAAGTTATTCTGAGTGGGAATTTTGTTATTAGAATGACTAGATGAGAAAGTCGTAATTAAATTTAATCTAAGTGTGCCATTGATATAGTGGAACAATTAGCAATTATCTAGAGGCGAGCTCGTTCGATTCTACGCGTATTCGTTTCTCGGTTTTATATCAATTATTTGCAGTTTAAATTCTTTTCGTGCGAGTTATTTAAAGTTAAGAGTCGTGGCTCGTTTACTTTCCGGTCGGCGATTCGACTCAAAAGATTAAGTATAATATTTTTTAAATTGATTAAGAACAAAGCAACAATTAATGTTTTAATTATATTATACGTCAAATGCAGAAACGATCCAATACAAAGTACCGTTACGCCGCATATTATATTACCCGGTTTTCTCGTTTATTCCAGAAACCAAATTAAGGTCATTTTATACAAATTAAAAATAGTTACAAAATACCATATCAATTTAAAAATAAAGTTTGGAATTAAATATTTACAAGAATTTCATCCGGCAATTTCAAAATTTGATTTCTTAATTGCCACGGCATAGAAATTTCGAACCGTTCCTTATCCGTTCTTACATTTCGTATAAATAAATAGATATTTAAGAGATCTCGAGCTTTATCTTTGGACGGTTAGATAAGGCGGTAAGTTATCGGAACACTCGAAGCGAATAAGGGGGTCACGTCTCTAAGAACGAAGCTTCCGAGAAAGATCTGCTCCGTTTACTGCCCTTCCGATAACAAAAGTATTTGTTAATCGTAACAATAGATCAGAATTTGCCCATAAATAGACAAGTATCACACAAAGGAAATCACTAATCGGTGCTGATTTTATATATCAAAACTCGGCGATTACAGAAATATATTTTTAAAATATATGCAATAATTACAGATTTCTCGTAAGAAGTGTAATAAGGCTTCCTGTTATTGCTTAATAAGAATGTAAGTTCCTTATTATAAGGAACTTTTGTTTCTGTATTGTTCTAATTAAAACTTTTATTTTAAAGTAGACGATTTGAAAATATTAGAATATTTTGTACCAAAGTGATCCACATTATCAGTGATTACGAAAGCGAAAGGCAGAATAACCATCGATCCATTAAAAATAGGCCACTGGGCCACATTTACACAGAATCTGCTTATTTCAAATTTAAATATGATGACGTCACAGATTTCAAATTTAAAAATGTGGCATTGTGGCTTCCCCATTCGTCATCCTTATAAATATATTATTGAAATATTTTAAACCAAAATGACAAATTTTAATACTCTTACCCGTAAAAGTAAATCATCGTTATAATTAAAAAAAAAATCAAATATTTCTCGAAACTTAAGCGGAACTTTACGGTTAATATACGCCCGCGCCATTTTTATCGAGCATTATGGGAACGTTTTACGTCATTCATTTTAAATAGATTTTAGAATGACGTAAAATTTAAAATAAACGCGTTCTAACTTAAACGAATCGTAAAAATATCCGACATCGAAAAAAAAACGGTAGTTCTAATTTTATTTTATTTGTCAACAACGTAGATGATTCACGCGGTTATTTAAAATTTGTTAGTTTTCGAAACCGACGATAGATGGCGGGGGTTGAACTAATTCAAGATTTTGATTTCGTCATCATTTAAACAGGATAAGTAATTCCAAGAATTTTCCTGGATTGAAAACTTGTACTCGATATCTGATATTTCATTTACTTCGAAATATTAAACGAAATATTGCACGTATCAGATTTGCATTCTGTCGAAACGAACAAAAGACCATAATTTTTCTTTTTTTAAACAAATTTGCTACTGATAGAAAATTATTATTATTATTAATATTATTATCATTTTCATAAAATTGCATTTATTAATTATGCAAAAAATTAGTATTTTTTTATATAAAAAATGAGATTTTCATGAATTTAAAACGATTTTTTTTAATGCACGATGTCGATGAAAATTTGATTTATAATTCGAGTGATTAATTAAGATTTTATTTAATATTTTTATAAATTGTTATTTTAATTATCGACTGATAAGAATGGTCTAATTGTTGTTTGAGTAATATTTTGCGTCACGTGATTTTCTTCCCCTTCGTGTTTTGAAATTAATGCGGGTGACGCGTATTAATTCGAAAATAGCCGCCGGATGGCGCTGTTAACTAAATTCGATTATCGTTCCAGATAGAGGTTTCCCATCATTCCCCGAAAGATTTATCGATTAGTAAAATGCGAAATTAGAAAAGTTGGGATTTATTTTCGTTCGGCGATCGTAATCGGCGAGGATTATAAATTAGTACAAAGAATTTTACCGCCGAGACGCCGTCGGAGACCGGAAAATTTCAAAAGTGTCGCCATCTGGCGAGTCATTCCCGTACTACTTCAAGGACGAGATCTCGGGCTTTCTTTTAGTAAGGGAGATTGCCATTGGGCGGGCGTCACGTGATTTCGCGCACGGCGGTCGGTAGGGGTACGCGTTACGTAACGTAATTAGAATAAATTAAACGTTATCGTAATAAAGTAATACTTAATAAATAAATAGGAATTGGCCAATAGAGTGGGAGAGAAATATAAAATAAAAAAGTTAGGGTCGTTAGCCCCGGGTAGATTTAAAGATGGCGCGGCTTGGGCTTTTTGTATTGTAAAATCGGTCATCCGCGGTTTAGTCACCTTCCGCGTGCGTCGGACGACCTTGCTGCGATGGCACGCTCTTTTAAAAAACCGGTTATCTGAATGAACGTCGGCACGGACCAATGGCGCCGTCCGGGGGCGGAACCCAAGACCTAATAGGGAGTCGAGGTTCGATTAGTCTGGTCGGGCGTGTTCCCGAGAAGTGACGTGCCGGGCACGTTAGCCGTAAATGAAAATAAGCTGCTAGGAATTCCAGGAAAAGCGAGGCCATCCCGATCGCCGCCACTTCTTAGTATACGACTTCGATGCGAATCGTGGAAATGCCGAGAGCCATAAGAAGTGATTCCATTCGTTTGTCGGTTTAGTCGGCTCGCGCTCTCACCGTATCCCAGACATGTGTTCCTCTACGGGATTAACACGCTCCCTACCCGAACTGGGTAAGTGTCTACAGTCGGGAGTTGCGATCCTCGTGTTTTTTTAATAGTTACGTCACTCGTAGTTGGTCGTGTGTTGTGTGTGTGTAGAGGAAGATCGAGGTGCCAAGTTGAGTTTACTCTGTGATACACGCTTGCCCAAAGCCTTAATGTATTGGTCGAGTGATGCGGATATCATGACGAGACGTCAGCCGGCCGACGAGACTTCTAAGTGTCAGTTTGGTACACTGGGATTCGTGTTCGTGTCTTATCCCATCCAACTGGACTCCATCGGGAGCAAGGCAGTGCGGTGTCAATCGTCCAGGTCGGACCGTCATCCCGACGACATGACGGTCGATCGGGACTTACAGCGGATTTCCAGAACGTTGGAGGTGCTAAATCAGAGCGGATATTACTACGAGGGAGTCTCGTGGCAGAAGGCGGCAGATCTACTGAAGAACACTTCCGTGGGCACGTTCCTGGTCAGGCCCAGTTCCGACTCCAAGTATCTTTTCGCCCTCAGCGTGCAGACCGATCGAGGACCCACCAGCGTCAGGATACATTACCTTCGAGGGCAGTTCCGTTTGGATTCCGAGGACTGCGTGGCTCATCTGATGCCCCTCTTCGATTGCGTGGTACAACTGGTCGAGTATTATGTCCAGCTGACTCGATCGGTCAAGGCGTCCTCGTGCGTTTTGGTGGACGGATCCGGCAGAAGGGACGTGCCCATTCGTTTGTGTCGGCCCCTGTATCGTCACGTTCGCTCCCTGCAGCATCTGTGTCGTCTGAGGGTGAACGGACAGTTGGTGGAAAGTCGTAAAGTTCCGTCCAACCAGGCCTTGGCCACCGACGTCAGGAAACTGGACCTACCTAATTCCGTCAAGTCCTTCCTCAGGGAATACCCTTACGTCCACTGACGTCAGGCGACGACGCCAAAGGGACCAAAAAGTAAAATAAAATCTCGCCTTCTTCGAACATATCTTCCGAGTGTTACGAGACGACGGCCAAAGATGTCCTCGGATTTTTTCTACGAGTTTCCGTACCTGACCACACTATATTCTTGTATCATAGTAACAGAAAAACCGACACAACCTTTAATTGTATATAGCTTACGTAAGTTATTAAGGCCCCGAAGGGGTGCGTAAAGTTACCAACGCAGCGACGTATGTAACGTTTTGTCTTTTTAATTTATATCTCTCCAATCGTGTGCGCGGGAACAAAATAAAGAAACGAAAAGAAAAAAAAGAATAATACAAGTTATTTATGCAACAAGTGCCCGGTGTCAACGTCTGTGTTTCTTTTGCCTTCGTAACAATGGACCGAAATTCGGGTTACGCGCTACATTAGGTGTCGCTTTATAGGTCAGAGTAGTCGCGGGTCGACGGCGTAACGGGGTCGACTGCGTCGTTCCACTTCGGTCCCCGTCTATAAATATAGTTTCGGGACGGGTGCCAAGTGGGTTGGCGTTCGGATATCCGCGGCCTTTCGTAGTCGCTCGCCACAAAACTGGTCCCCGCAAAAAACGAGTCGAGGTAAACGACTCGCCAGAACAATTGTCCGTCTCAACGGGTTTTTAAAGACGATCCGGTCGACGACCCCCTTCCCTCTACCTCTACCTATTTCCGAAAGCAACCGTTGACCTACTCCGCACGTTCCCCCACCGACTACAAAACGTAATCGTAACCCCGGTGACGTCACGCCTAGACCTTGGCCTGCTGGAAAAGCATCTTCCACGTCTTCATTTATACTTTCATTGAGCGATGTAAAACGTAAAACATAAAAAAGAGCGGAGAAAGAAAGAAAAAAAGACATTCGTTTCGAATCGGGAGAGAAGCGCGTAATTTAAGATTACGGAATCGAATGGCGAAAGGAGGACATTCTAAGAAAATGACGTGGTGGTAGCGCGCGCGACGATGTCACGGTCGAAGGACGAGTCGCGTCACGCGCGCTTCGCTCCAATGGCGGATTACGACGGTGCCGACGTCATTAACCGTGAATCGAAACCGTAATGTCCCCATTGGGTTTGCTGCCAGGACGAGACTTTCTCTTTTTTTTTTTATCTTCGAGCGACGCTAACTACAAACAGATGCGTTCTCGGTTTACACTTTGTAGCGCCGCCGGAGGAGCGAGCTTCGATCCTACGCGATATTTAAATCTTCTAAGTTTAGTAAACGGTTTCTATATAAATATTTGGAGCGTTGTTAGGGGAACAAAACATTTTGGTCGATGGAAACCGAACGAAAACTCGATATCGCCGGTTTCGCTTCACCTTCCCGGAAAAACAATAGACTAAACAATAACCGTTTACGTCATCAACACTCGCATTCCTCGAGACCGTCGCTCGGATGGAGTGACGTCGTTCCTTCTCATTGGAAGGAAGATGATCTCCATCCCGGGAGAAATTGCGTTTTCCTACGACGTCACCGGAAGTTGCCGGCAGCGAATTTTGTCGGCGGTGGCCATTTTTTTTTTTTTTTTTTTATTCTTACTTTTTAAATTTGTTTCGGCGTCACGTGACGGCCGCGATTCTATTAACGCGGCCAATTTCGCCACACGCGATCGANGTTTCATATTATTAACTGTATAATTTGTTACTTTGAAATTTGTTAATTGATAAAATTTTATATACAACACACTTACCATAATTTATATATCGCATACTTTTTAATACTTTAGGAAGAAGAAGAATTTCGAACACATTTACTCTGTTTTAAGGTAAGGAATTTTTAAAATAAAATGAAATTAATTATTCAGATAAAACATATTAATTTGTGTATATTATATTAAGCATAAAATGAAAAACATGGTTTGGACTAAAGGTACAAATGGATTAGAAGGAGAATTTCAATGTGGTTCTGAAGTTGATTTTTTCATAGACAAAGTGAGTAATATTTATAGATTGTTTTATATTATACTAAATGGCATTATATTAAATTTAATATTCATATCAGGATATGGTGCACATTGCTGACACAAAAGTTGCAAGAAGATATGGAGATTTCTTTATTAGACAAACTTTAAAATTTGAAGAAGTAAGTTTTCTTTTAAACTACGGTGGAACTTCAATAATTGAAAAGAATGGAGATAAAATTTGTTTTAATTGATAATTATACTTGAAGAATATAAAAATAAATAATTACACTGATAAATATTTTTCTATTTTTAATACAAAAGGAAGTAAAACTAGGGAATGAGACAAACTAGACCATACAACATTTAGATATATTTATGATAGATATGTTTTTACATTATTATATCTTAGATTCATTTAAATGCAAAATTTGTTTATATAGAGTCAAAAATAAATCAAACTTTCAATATAATTTTTATTATGTTAATGTTACAAGTATTTACAGACCACTTTCAAAATAAGTATCTTCTGCAGATATACTTCTGCCAATGTTTGTACCATTTATTAAAACAGTTTTGTGGCCCATTCTGCATTATTTCTTTTGAGTGCAGTCATCTGCTGATTTGAATCTGTGATCCTTCTGTAGAGTTTTTGTTTTGGTAATTTTGGTGTTCACCAAAATGGGTAAGAAAGCTACAGAGGTCAAGTAAATGATGTTTTTCCTAATATTCACTAGAAGAGCTTGATACCCAGTGTATCAAGCTCTTCTAGTGGCATTGTCATGGTGGAGAACCCAGCTTTTTGTTTGCCAGAGAAAGGTCATTTTTGTCTTATTGTATCACAAAGGCAATTGAGAATATCTGTATTTCTGTATCTGTATTTTTGAGAATTCTGTATTTCTCTTTATCAATGGATTTACTGTTGAGAATAAATTGTAATGCATCAGACTTTTCACATCAAAAAGAAGCCAAAATCATTACGATTTCCAGCATAATTGTCACATATTTTTCATAGCTCAATGTTTTTAATTGGGACTTCTTTTGTCTCCTTTTCTTCAGCTATGTAACTGCAAGGCCTATCTAACCAAAATATGGGTTTTACAATTATTTTAATCACTTCGCTTAGTATCGCATGTAAGGATGCAGATAGACTGACAAGTTAATTGTGACAAATTTTATACAGCAACTTATATGAGGGTTTACAGTAGCATTAATGAACTCCAGAATAGGATTTTATGATTTACCCACATGCATCTGCATCTTGATATAATCTTATGGCTAAACAACATGATATAATAAGTTTCCCAGACACCTCACAGCTCTTTGCATTAGGAAAATTGTCATGATTATCAGTTGAAGGTGTCCTGCAAATTCTGCCTTCTCCAAGTTCTCTCAAAACTGTTCACATTCTCAGCAACTTAAGACTTTACAACAGTTATATGTTGTGTGTTCATTCTCTTTTCACTATGTTACATGATGTGAAACCAGTAAGATGTGTTTGTATTGCAACAGTATCATTAGTTCTAAGAGACAATTACAATAGAAAAAAATCATGTGCTGGATAAGAGAATATCTGAATTATCTGTTGAATGTTGAATAAATATTTTAATGCAGAAAAATACAACCAAATAGATAAAAAAAAAATAGTTCTGGGACATGAAGTTTTTATATGTTCATTTTCTTTACTTCTTGCATAAACTGGCTTCTTAGGTTGTGTAATTTTCATAAAATTTTGTTGCTATCAGTATTAAATTAATTAAGCTTTATACATGATGATGAACGCTTAATGCGTTTGAAAACGTTTTTATGTTATTAAAGAATTATGCTGGATAGTTGAATGGTTTTTATTTTTATTGAATTTATTCTCTAGTAAGCAAGTATACAATTATTTATTAAGCTTTATTGCAATTAATTTTAACATTCTTGTTTCTTATTGCAATTTCTATAACTTGCATGGGACATATCCCACAATAGCAGGTTAACATACAGAGTTGTTAAAACTTTTATTTCTACATCACTCCATATCTTCTTGCCTTCCAAAGTATTGAGCTCACTGTTTAATTCACCAAATATTGAAACAAACTGGATGAATTTCAAGAAATCACGCAATTACAAATATGTGTGTCACGCGAGAACTTCTGGAAGTTTTGACAAGTCAACTTATAAAGCTGTTTATGCTAAAGATTAATGTCAGACAGCAACTGGCACAAGTTTTCTTGCTAGTCTAGATACACCTAAAGTGCTAGCCTAAAACTTAAAAGTTAGATTTGAACCCAGTTCAGACTTTATAATTTATTAGGGGTATTACAGACTGGGGCATTGTCTCCTTTTCTCGCTCATATTGGTGAATTATGTGGATCAGGCAATATAATTAACAATTTTAAAAAATTGTAAATTTTTTATGTATGAAAGACCAGAATTGATGGCAAATGAATGCTCTGCAAGTTAATTTTGCTATTGGTAAATTTTAATATGAGTAACAGAACATTATTTATTTTTTTATTCCGTACAAATTTAATTTTTATTGAAGTTCCACTGTATTAGTTTAAACTGGTAATTGAGTGTATTAAAATCAATATTATTTTTTACAGCTTTATCACAAGATTAATAATTTACAATTATAAATGTACTGGTATTATTCAAAATCAAATAATTTGGAAGAATGGTATACATGTGAAATATCTTTCTTTTTTTCAATAAAGATATAATGTTCTAAATATTTAAGAAAAATTATTTGAGTTTTTTTTCTGTATAATTAATTTTTGAAAAGTTTAATATGGCATTCTGTAGTTTTACCTAACATTTAAAATTGCAAATGTCTTATAGACAATTCATTTGCTAATTTATAGTTTAAAAATGCTTTAAATCTTGTAGCATATTCTAGAATTTAAAATATGCCATATTTCCTCAATTATAATACACTTTCACCCAGCTTTACATAATCTAATAATTCTTGGCTAACCAAAATAGAGGCACATCTTAGAATCGACAGGGCAGTGTAGCCAAAACAACTCTTGCACAAATAAAATTCAACTGACTTAATTGAGGGTATCTTATAATCATTATAAGTGGACCGGGAGACAAGTTATGCACAAATAATAGGCATGTTTGGCTACGCTACTCGCCAGTACATCAGTTCGGATGAGCTTTACTGCTAACAAGCATTTGATGTAAACAATTTTCTAATGTTTAAAATGAATATTTATTGTATATAGAAATCGAGCTGCCAAATATTTCTATTTTGTGACATTTTATTGTTCTTCTAGCTTGTTATTTAACAAAATTTATTAGGATTGATTATTTAAAAAAGCTTTTTCTTCTATAAAAAAAAAACCTTAAAATTTCATTCCAAATTTGTGATGCATCTTAGAATTGAGGAAATATGGTTTGTATGCAATAAGGAAAATATCTGAATAATTTTCAACCAGTTATACTTATTTAATTATTAAGTATAACTGACTGCTATGTAAATTTTTATGGAACATTCAGAGACTAAATTTTCTGTGCATCCAAAGTACTCTGTTAATTATCTTTATAAGCAATTTCCAAAATAAAATATTAACTTTTTCCTTTCATTTTCTCTTAGCGTTCATATTAATTCTTTACATTTTTCATTCTTTTATATTTTATTTTATTACCTTCGGCCCAAGATACTTTTCCGGTAATTAACTGCACTAAACTAAAGCTTTTGTCGTAACCATTTTCCTTAGTTCGTGTGAAATCCCTTTAAAATTCTGAAATTTTTATGAGGGAATTTCATAGTTTAGTTTAATATCTCAAGCAAATATCTATAATGAATTAATAGAAACTATTTTTAAAATAGAAACTTATTAAGTTGTTTATAATTTTCTTTTTGTACTTACATCATTGATTATTATTGTAAATAATTGCAAAATTATTACTTTTATTTATAATTTAAAAATTATTTATGTTAAATTTAATAATCCAATACCTCTAGCCAAGTTACTGATATATTAATTAATTAATTAACCATTTCGTAATCTAATAAA